AGTAGTGCTTTTCAGGTCAGTAGTGCTTTTCAGGTCAGTAGTGGTCTACAGGTCAGTAGTGGTCTACAGGTCAGTAGTGCTTTTCAGGTCAGTAGTGTTCTACAGGTCAGTAGTGGTCTACAGGTCAGTAGTGGTCTACAGGTCAGTAGTGCTTTTCAGGTCAGTAGTGGTCTACAGGTCAGTAGTGTTCTACAGGTCAGTAGTGCTCTACAGGTCAGTAGTGCTTTTCAGGTCAGTAGTGCTTTTCAGGTCAGTTGTGGTCTACAGGTCAGTAGTGGTCTACAGGTCAGTAGTGCTTTTCAGGTCAGTAGTGGTCTACAGGTCAGTAGTGCTCTACAGGTCAGTAGTGATCTTAAGGTCAGTAGTGGTCTACAGGTCAGTAGTGCTTTTCAGGTCAGTAGTGGTCTACAGGTCAGTAGTGATCTACAGGTCAGTAGTGCTTTTCAGGTCAGTAGTGGTCTGCATGTGGTGAGTAGTGCTTTCAGTAGTGGTCTTCAGGTCAGTAGTGCTCTACAGGTCAGTAGTGCTCTACAGGTCAGTAGTGGTCTTCAGGTCAGTAGTGGTCTACAGGTCAGTACTGCTTTTCAGGTTAGTAGTGATCTTCAGGTCAGTAGTGGTCTGCATGTCAGTAGTGGTCTACAGGTCAGTAGTGGTCTGCATGTCAGTAGTGCTCTACAGGTCAGTAGTGCTCTACAGGTCAGTAGTGCTCTTCAGGTCAGTAGTGCTCTTCAGGTCAGTAGTGGTCTGCATGTCAGTAGTGGTCTACAGGTCAGTAGTGGTCTGCATGTCAGTAGTGGTCTACAGGTCAGTAGTGCTCTACAGGTCAGTAGTGGTCTACAGGTCAGTAGTGGTCTGCATGTCAGTAGTGTTCTACAGGTCAGTAGTGCTCTACAGGTCAGTAGTGGTCTACAGGTCAGTAGTGGTCTGCATGTCAGTAGTGTTCTACAGGTCAGTAGTGCTCTACAGGTCAGTAGTGCTTTTGAGGTCAGTAGTGGTCTACAGGTCAGTAGTGGTCTACAGGTCAGTAGTGCTTTTCAGGTCAGTAGTGGTCTACAGGTCAGTAGTGCTCTACAGGTCAGTAGGTCAGTAGTGGTCTGCATGTGATGAGTAGTGCTTTCAGTAGTGGTCTTCAGGTCAGTAGTGCTTTTCAGGTCAGTACTGATCTTCAGGTCAGTAGTGATCTTCAGGTCAGTAGTGCTCTACAGGTCAGTAGTGGTCTGCATGTCAGTAGTGATCTTCAGGTCAGTAGTGCTCTACAGGTCAGTAGTGGTCTGCATGTCAGTAGTGGTCTACAGGTCAGTAGTGGTCTGCATGTCAGTAGTGGTCTACAGGTCAGTAGTGGTCTACAGGTCAGTAGTGGTCTGCATGTCAGTAGTGGTCTGCATGTCAGTAGTGGTCTGCAGGTCAGTAGTGCTCTACAGGTCAGTAGTGCTCTACAGGTCAGTAGTGGTCTGCATGTCAGTAGTGCTCTACAGGTCAGTAGTGGTCTGCATGTCAGTAGTGATCTACAGGTCAGTAGTGCTCTACAGGTCAGTAGTGCTCTACAGGTCAGTAGTGCTTTTCAGGTCAGTAGTGGTCTACAGGTCAGTAGTGGTCTGCATGTCAGTAGTGGTCTGCATGTCAGTAGTGCTCTACAGGTCAGTAGTGCTCTACAGGTCAGTAGTGGTCTGCATGTCAGTAGTGATCTACAGGTCAGTAGTGGTCTACAGGTCAGTAGTGGTCTGCATGTCAGTAGTGGTCTGCATGTCAGTAGTGCTTCTCAGGTCAGTAGTGGTCTATAGGTCAGTAGTGGTCTATAGGTCAGTAGTGCTCTACAGGTCAGTAGTGCTCTTCAGGTCAGTAGTGCTATACAGGTCAGTAGTGGTCTGCATGTCAGTAGTGGTCTGCATGTCAGTAGTGATCTACAGGTCAGTAGTGGTCTACAGGTCAGTAGTGCTTTTCAGGTCAGTAGTGGTCTACAGGTGAGTAGTGGTCTACAGGTGAGTAGTGCTTTTCAGGTCAGTAGTGGTCTACAGGTAGGTAGTGGTCTGCATGTCAGTAGTGGTCTGCATGTCAGTAGTGCTTCTCAGGTCAGTAGTGGTCTATAGGTCAGTAGTGGTCTGCATGTCAGTAGTGGTCTGCATGTCAGTAGTGATCTTCAGGTCAGTAGTGGTCTACAGGTCAGTAGTGCTCTACAGGTCAGTAGTGGTCTGCATGTCAGTAGTGGTCTAAAGGTCAGTAGTGGTCTACAGGTCAGTAGTGGTCTGCATGTCAGTAGTGGTCTACAGGTCAGTAGTGGTCTACAGGTCAGTAGTGCTCTTCAGGTCAGTAGTGCTCTACAGGTCAGTAGTGCTCTACAGGTCAGTAGTGCTCTTCAGGTCAGTAGTGGTCTGCATGTCAGTAGGTCAGTAGTGGTTTGCATGTGGTGAGTAGTGCTTTCAGTAGTGGTCTTCAGGTCAGTAGTGGTCTTCAGGTCAGTAGTGGTCTACAGGTCAGTAGTGCTTTTCAGGTTAGTAGTGATCTTCAGGTCAGTAGTGATCTTCAGGTCAGTAGTGGTCTACAGGTCAGTAGTGGTCTACAGGTCAGTAGTGCTTTTCAGGTCAGTAGTGTTCTACAGGTCAGTAGTGTTCTACAGGTCAGTAGTGCTTTTCAGGTCAGTAGTGGTCTACAGGTCAGTAGTGGTCTGCATGTCAGTAGTGGTCTACAGGTCAGTAGTGGTCTGCATGTCAGTAGTGGTCTAAAGGTCAGTAGTGATCTACAGGTCAGTAGTGTTCTACAGGTCAGTAGTGGTCTACAGGTGAGTAGTGCTTTTCAGGTCAGTAGTGTTCTACAGGTCAGTAGTGCTTTTCAGGTCAGTAGTGGTCTACAGGTCAGTAGTGATCTACAGGTCAGTAGTGGTCTACAGGTCAGTAGTGCTTTTCAGGTCAGTAGTGATCTACAGGTCAGTAGTGGTCTACAGGTCAGTAGTGCTTTTCAGGTCAGTAGTGGTCTGCATGTCAGTAGGTCAGTAGTGGTCTGCATGTGGTGAGTAGTGCTTTCAGTAGTGGTCTTCAGGTCAGTAGTGCTCTACAGGTCAGTAGTGGTCTTCAGGTCAGTAGTGGTCTACAGGTCAGTAGTGCTTTTCAGGTTAGTAGTGGTCTACAGGTCAGTAGTGGTCTACAGGTGAGTAGTGCTTTTCAGGTCAGTAGTGTTCTACAGGTCAGTAGTGGTCTACAGGTCAGTAGTGGTCTACAGGTGAGTAGTGCTTTTCAGGTCAGTAGTGTTCTACAGGTCAGTAGTGTTCTACAGGTCAGTAGTGCTTTTCAGGTCAGTAGTGGTCTACAGGTCAGTAGTGGTCTGCATGTCAGTAGTGGTCTACAGGTCAGTAGTGGTCTGCATGTCAGTAGTGGTCTAAAGGTCAGTAGTGATCTACAGGTCAGTAGTGCTCTACAGATCAGTAGTGGTCTACAGGTCAGTAGTGGTCTGCATGTCAGTAGTGATCTACAGGTCAGTAGTGGTCTACAGGTCAGTAGTGGTCTACAGGTCAGTAGTGGTCTGCATGTCAGTAGTGCTCTACAGGTCAGTAGTGGTCTATAGGTCAGTAGTGGTCTACAGGTCAGTAGTGGTCTGCATGTCAGTAGTGGTCTGCATGTCAGTAGTGATCTACAGGTCAGTAGTGATCTACAGGTCAGTAGTGCTTCTCAGGTCAGTAGTGGTCTATAGGTCAGTAGTGGTCTACAGGTCAGTAGTGGTCTGCATGTCAGTAGTGGTCTGCATGTCAGTAGTGATCTACAGGTCAGTAGTGATCTACAGGTCAGTAGTGCTCTACAGGTCAGTAGTGGTCTGCATGTCAGCAGTGGTCTGCATGTCAGCAGTGGTCTAAAGGTCAGTAGTGGTCTACAGGTCAGTAGTGGTCTGCATGTCAGTAGTGGTCTACAGGTCAGTAGTGGTCTGCATGTCAGTAGTGGTCTAAAGGTCAGTAGTGGTCTACAGGTCAGTAGTGGTCTACAGGTCAGTAGTGCTCTACAGGTCAGTAGTGGTCTACAGGTCAGTAGTGCTCTACAGGTCAGTAGTGGTCTGCATGTCAGTAGTGGTCTACAGGTCAGTGTAACGTCCTTAAGGATCCAACTACTTGAGACACATTTGTTCCGCCATATCGTTGCAAGCATTATTACTATGATTATTGTAGACTTTTTGTTTAGAGGGGGGCCATAAGGGGTCCAAGGTCTGTGTTACAGGGGCACTGTAATGGAAAGTGACAGAATTTCTGTAGCCGCTGAAAGAGTCTGGCTGTTTTCCAACTCGGCCAGAGGCCCAGTGTCATTTGCATTAGTAGAATTAGTAGAATTATTATTATTAATAGAAACCTTCTGATCAAAGGTAATTTGCCTGATTTTGTCTGCAGCTCCTGAACATCTGTCAGACGCACCGTTAACACTCAGCTGTGCAGAGACCTTTGGAGGGGCAGGTGCTCACTGTATAAAAAAGGCACGTATACAGAAACGTATCGTCAAGTATTCGTTGCTGATACACGTCTAGATGCGGATGCTTCTGTATCAATACAGCAGCAAATGCTGTGACACAGAAAAATAAACACAGAACAGAAAAGACCATTTAAAGTTTAAAACGTAGAGACTATTTTCTTTGCACCTGTTTAATAACTCTGGGATTAGAAACTGAAGTGTCTGAAGTTGCCCAACATTAAAGCTGATGATACACGGAGCAACTTTTAGAGCAACGGTGCTGGGCAATATTGCCCTCAGTGGTAATGAGTAAAGATTACTACTGTAATCCCTCCCCTCACTGCTCCGCCACCCATCCCGCCCTGCCGCTGTCTGTTCAAAACATAGTCGGACTTGCCATCAAAAAGTTGCCTCATGTATCATCAGTTTAAGGCTTTGCTGCTGCTGCTGCTGGAGGTAATCTGAGACTAGAGATACTGAAACACACTCAGGAGATATATCAGCTGATTAAACCTTCGTTATGTGGCCGTGACAGGATGTAAAGATGCTGACTGATGTGGTTGAATCACTGTGACTGACCTGCTGCAGCTGCTGCCAATAAGAGGGAGACGCTCACAGAGACGGCTGCACAGCGAGAGCTGCAGGGACAGAACAGAAGATACCAGGTTCAGAAAAGAGAGGGAAACTCTACTGGGGGAGAGGATGAGGGAGGCCATGGCAGGGGGAGAGTGAGACAGAGCAGCGGGTGTGTTTACAGTATGCATCACTGCCATCAGGATTTCATCTATTAGATTGTAACTGAAATCTATTTGGATTTAGTTTAACTATATGTCTGAGATGTGTGTGTTTATTCCAAGAAGGTCCAACTGCAGACCGCTTCTGATGCAGGCTCCTCTGTCAGGACAGGAAACGCATGTACAAAATACAAAATTAAATTGTGGATTAGACAGGAAACACATTCAAAAATTATAGGGGGAGGGATTTTGTTGTTGATTTATATTCAATTAATTAATCAACATTGTGAGTGAAAACCAGCAGGCTAATTCCTTAAATATAGCATATTGATTTGAGCCTATTCTGTCTACTGTCTCACTCACCCATACCTCTCTCGCTCTCTCTTCCTCATGAACACCGCAGCACAAACCTGTCCAACACAACGCTGTCAGTGTCGGAGACCCAGCTCAAAAACGTTATTAGCCAGCATGCAAGGAGCCCAGCTAATAAGGAGAGCTAAGTTTTTCAAGGCTAGCTGTGGGAAACACTGCACACACTTCTCCTTCATAATGTCCCTTTGAAGAGTAATATATACTATGGCATTTGGAAAACGTGTTTATTTTAGCCTGTTTATCTTATTAATGTAAATAATAATTTCAATGAAAATACATATATGATTAAAAATAATGGTTGTTGGTAAATGAATTAGTGACCCCCACAGATGCAGATGAACCCTGCTGGACTATGTGGACTATCAACTGTAAAATCTGTAAGATACAACATGTATACCTTTATCGATCATTTTGTAAATATCTCATTTTAAAAAATGAATGGAGACAACAGCCTACTGTAATAATACTTTTACTGTATTGACTGTACACACACAGATTACACAGTTAGAAAAGGAGCTGGCAGCAGTGCCTGATTTGCATTATGCAAAACATTAAAATAAAGTCTGAATGCATGAGTCTCAGCATGTTGTATCAAAATATCTACCACTATAAATATTTGTACATCTAAATCATGCAAATTAGGATCTGCTTACAGTGGCTGTGTTAAGCCCCCGAAGATCTATGGGCGGAGTTAGTTTCTTTTTGTGGATAACAAACTGTTTATATAACCGTGTGTGTTAAATCTCTCCCTGCTCCTAAACAGCTGATTCAAACTATCAACTCGTTGAAGTCGTTGGGGGAAACTTTCTCCAGGAGGGGGTTGGGAAACACTGTCGTAGTAACGCTACATAAACTTCAATTCAACTAAGATGAATTCATACAGCCAGCAAAGTCTTTGCACGCCGTTTAAGTGTGAAAAAGCTACACCGAACGGTCTAAACAATTTAGATCTTTATTCTATCTTCTTTTGGACAAATAACTAACCTGTGCATCATAGTGTGTAATATTTCTTAGGTTCTATCGACAGAAATGCAATATAAGATCCATAACTATGTTTTCAGTGGTGTGTAAAGACCTCACATAATGAAGAGTTATGTTTTTATTACCCTAAAATGAGCCATTTATACCTCCATAACCGTGGCAGCCCCTTCTATGGAGGTAATAATAATAATAATAAACAGTCTCTGAGTAGTCTTCTGGTTTATTAGAAGAGAAGTGACTTGGACAAATGGACGAGCACACTGTTATTTAGCACGAAAGCCGACAGCCTGTGGATCTTTATACCATGAAGCCAGAGGGAGTCGAGACAGATACAGACAGCTGACGGCAGAAATCACCGATGTGGATTTTCCAGATGGAAGGCTGTAATGTTGGACAGATGTTTTCAAAGCGGTGCTGAAGTTGCCTGTTTTGTGCTGGACAGGTAATTAACTTAAGTTTGTCAGACTTTAGCGATGCAAATGAAAGCTGTTGTTTGAGAGCTTTAGCTTGAAGCTGGCCATGATCACCGAGAGAGGTGAGGTGTTCCCCTGTCAATATGTAGTTGCATTAACTTCATGTCGCCTTCTTATTCTCCAGCCTGTGGGTCGGCGGTTTATAATGGACTGTGGTGCAGAAACAGTGAGCTCACATTGTCCTGGTATCTGTCAGCGGTCATACTTGATGCACTAGATGTGATGGTGTTTGAGATGTTCTTCATTTACTTTGGTGTGTTAGTCCAGATGAGCCAACCCTCCCAAGATGTAAAATTCTGTATTACAGGAGTATGAGACATCATGCAGCACTTCATTTCTTCATGTGGCTGTTTATTAATGAACAGGTAACAATAATGTTTTGAAGAAAAACGTGTTTTTACTGGATAATTAAGTAATCTATCTAAAGAAACCTGATTTATTGACTGGCAAACTCTGCTATCTCACAGATGACATCTTTGTCCTGTCTCAGGCACCGTACCTATTCCGCTCGCTTAGAGAGGGGGGGGGGGATTCTTCTAATTCGCAACCCTCACCATTAGATGTCACTAGAACTTGAAAATATTTGAAAGAACCCATTACCCTGTTTCTAGTATCTGATTTCTAATCTCTCTCTCTTTTAATTCTCCACCTTATTTTCGTGTTTCCTCACAAACTGCACTGATCTGCTCACCTTGCTTTTCCCTTCAGACACACCTTCACCTGTCTGTCTCTCTGCCTGTAACTCTGTTCTGACTTTACTTGTCAGCAGTTTCATAACCCCGCCCCCCCCCCCTCCGCCTATGTGACAGAAATAAATTGTGTCAGCTCTAAAGTTTCTGGGTGTTATATAAATAAATGCACCTTTAATTGTCCACAGTAACACAACAGCTCCTGTTTCCACTTTCTGCAGGCTGGCTGGTAAAAAGCTGGGAAGCATTTTAAACCTCTGGGCTACGTGAGGAGCAGGTTGATGAAGCAGCAGCTGTTCTCCTGATGTCTGGTTGACTTTACTGTGAAAACCAAACAGCAGCTGCTTCTTTCACATCAGCAGCGTGCTGGTCATCAAACCTTCAGCCTGTAAGAAGTGAAATGCAGCCAGAGGGATCAGAGCAGTCCTGCTCAGACCGCTTCAGACCTCTGCTCGGTCTTACCTGGAGGAGCTGCGTGGGGCGCGAGGCAAACCGCTTTCTCTCAGTCCACTGATCAGAGACAAAAACCCGCAGCTGGACACACAATCCGGAGAGGACGGGTCATCTGCACGGACCAATGAACGATCGGCTGCTGGGGAGGTGGGCGGGGCTTAGCGGCGGCTCGTCCGGGTCAGTAAGTGTCTGAACTGTTTCTGAGGTCCAGGACCAGAAGGAGGGGCCGACTCAAGATGGAGGCACGTGTAGTCGTATTTTGAGACGCTAACGAAAATGTCACTCCAAAGTAAGTAGATGGATATCTTTGAAGAAGACCTTTCTCGTTAATAATTCGCCGTTGTCTACACTTAAAAGTTCTAAATTTAGAACTTCAAGAAGCGCTGCTAAAGTTGATTGAGTTGACATCCAACGATGGAAAACTCAAGCAAAGAGGAGCTTCTTATGCTGGAAGATATGTATGGAACATCCAAAGTGACAGAACTGAATGAAAGAATAAATAAATAAATAAATGGGGAAATAAATGCAAGAAAGAATGAATGAGCAAAAGAATAAATAAATAAATGGGGAAATATATCAAAGAAAGAATGAATGAATAAAACAATACATAAATAAATGGGGCAATAAATGCAAGAAAGAATGAATGAATAAAACAATAAATAAATAAATGCGGAAATATATCAAAGAAAGAATGAATGAATAAAAGAATAAATACATACATTTGCTTTTGCCTTTCCCCAAGGAGACCTATTGTCATTGCTTTTTCCTTCCTCTTCCTTAACTGTCAATCAACGTCTTGTGGCCCGCCCACTAAGTCAGGTCGAGCAGCCGATGACTGATACTATCTTCAGTGTGGATATGCTGTCCCTGGAAGAGTGTTATGATTGGTAGAAAGTTTAGAAGGAGTTATGCTGCATTCAAGACCGGTCGGAACTGGGATATTTCCCAGTTGAAACTTCCGACTTCCCACATCAAAGCGTTCCAGGTGCATGGTGATACATGACACCGAAAGTGAACGAAAACCATGGCTAACTGTGACAACGTGTACACACAGTTGCACCCTCAGCAGTGTTTTAGGTGTTAATTAAAAGGATGGCAGTTTAACTGCAACAACTTAATATAACATAAATAGCCTATAGTTACTAGTTAAGGGTTCAGTGTATAATATATCTGAGGATCTATTGACAGAAATGCAATATAACATCCATAACTATGTTTTTCAGTGGTGTATAAAGACCTTGCATGTGCATGTGTTGCATATGTTTTTATTACCTTAGAATGAGCTATTTATATCTACATACACGAGACATCCCCTGCTGTAGAGGTCGACATATTGTGTTATCATGTTTCTACTCTAGCCTACAGCGAACAAACAGCGCTTTCATCACTACCTTGAAAGAGAAGCAACAGAAGAAGCAGCAGCAGAAGAAGTAGGAGCAAGAGCAAGAAGAAGTTGTACGTTTCTAACTACTATGTAGTAGTAGAAGCTCTCCTTTATTAGTAGTGGAATTTTGGACAAATGAAGGACCACAGCTATTATTTAGCACAAGAGCCAACGGAGGGTGAATCTGCTTCGAAGAAGTGAAAGCGTGATGAAGCCAGACGCGGGAGCAACCCAGGCAGAAATCACGGTTAAACATCGATGTGGCTTTTCCCAGATGGAAGAAGGGTCTAATGACGGAAAAATGTTTTCAAAGCGACACCGAAGATGCCAGTTTTCTGATGGACAGGTAAGGTAACGTTATTCCAACTTTAACAATGCAAATGAAAACTGTTGTTTGATAATGCTAGCATTAGCCAGAAGCTAGCCATAGACACCGTGAGAAGTGACTTTTCCCTTGTCAGTTGTGTAAAATATGTAGTTGGATAGTTTCATGTGGTTCTTCTCCCTCGCTGTGTTATGGCTTTGCTATGTGGGGATAAATGTGCCGGTTACGTTCGTGAGACAATCAGCTGATTAGTATTATTGACCGCAAAAGTTAGCCTACAGTTAACAGCTCATATTAGCCAGCTAAACTTTTACTACCCTGAAATATGTAACATTAGTTGGATTGTTATTTCGAAGGTTGTTCTCCAGCGCTTCGGCTTCGTTTAGTGAACAGAAATGTGTCTTTTGTGTTTGTGAGACAATCAGCTGATGATTACAATTAGCTATAAAACCGTAATATTGCATGGAGCATGGTGGCTCAGATTAGCAAGCTAAATGTTTACTGCCCTGGGGGAAAACATTTATTTTTACTGCTAACAGCATTACGATAACAACACTGTGTGCTTATCAAGTGACTAATTATGCTTATTGTCAGAATTTACATTAGAAACAACGTATTTGTTTGTATTGCTTCTACGGTGCATACAAAGGTTACCACAAGCTCAAATTATGGCACTCAGTACTTATTTGTGTTATATTATATTGTAGAGCACCCTTGATCCTCACCTGACTATGGCTTTGTAAACTTACCCATGATGTGGTTTATAATGGACTGTGGTACAGAAACAGGGACATTTTTACACACTCTTGTCTTACGTTTTCCATGTTGTCTGTCGGTGATCATACTAGTTTTTGGGATGTTCAATTTATTAGACAAGATGAGCAAACCCTACAAAGATGTAACACATTGGGGATTACAGTACAGTAATGTATTACAGTCATGTAGCACTTCATTTATTGAGGCTGCTGCTGTTTCTCCAGCTACGAGACAGGTCCTGCAACATCGACTCCCTTGAAGAGAAAACCTTTGCAAGTCCCAGCTCCAGCATTGTCTAGCATTGGTGCTTCTAGTGGAACAGACCGGTAAGTCATGCATAACAATATATAAATTTTGTCCTAATAGCTTTGATTAGAAACATGAACTTTATGATTAGTGTGTAATAGTGTGTTATTTTATTTTTGGTCTATATTTACTGTTGAATGCGCATATGTGGAATTTACACAACTTGCTCTGGTTATTCTTAGATGAGCATCTTGATGTCATTCCAGAAGCCACAGAAATTCAGGACCTTGAACAAAGGTAACATGTACACATCATAACTTTTAGACCTGTATTGCTTTTCTCCAAATGTTCAAAATATATATTTGTAATATGTTTTTTGCAGCTTACATGACATGAGCATTGTTGAGAAGGACTTGGAGGAAAATGTTTTCACTGACCCAATGAACAGTAGTACTTCCTAATTACATGTACTACTGTTCAGTGATATTATTTGAGAACTTGTTTTTATCTGAAAGTTGTCATTATGTAAAGAATTGATTTGGCAGATAAAGCTTCATCTTACTCCCTTGAAAGAGATGATGGACAGAATGGTTTCAGCTCTGATGAAGAGGATCTTCCACCGATTTCTATACAGTGTGTTATTTGTCAGTCTCAGTTTGCAATTGTTTTGTGGTGTTTGTTTACTACAGATTTTTGTGCCTCAGTAGAATGAGTGGAGCACTGAAGAAAGCACACTATCGATGGACTTCCTTGCCTGCACATTAAGACCCTCCTGATGAGCCTTCTCCCTGAGATCATGACCCTGTTTTCCCAGAACCACAGAAGGTCCTTTGTGAAGATGACATCATAGGTGTAAGAGCCTCCATAGTGTACAAGAACTGCTTAAGACAACTGGCTACATTTCTGATCCTGCCTGTGGATAAATGCACTGGCCTTCTGAGGACTGGTGGTGGTTCTCCTCTGTGACTTTTAGATCTGTCCTAATAGACACAGCTTGTGGAGGTGGATTTCCCAGCCTGTCATGAAGTTTGGGATGCAAGCTGGAGATTTTCTCTTGTCCACCAACATTTTGTTGTCTGGCAACAACTACGCAAAGGTTGCCCTCTTGTTCAAATTCATGAACATGGGGATGGTGAACAGGAAGACTTTCTTCTCCATTCAGGACATTTACTGCGTCAATACAATAAAGGACTTCTGGGAAGAGAGAAGGACAGAGGTTCTTTGTGGCCTTCAAGGGAAAGATGTTGTTGTCCTAGGTGTGTACTTGATACTGTATTATGGAACATAGCTATTTAATACACTAAGCAATGACAGTATGGAAACAACTAATAACTGTTTTTCTGTTGAATTATATTTTAAAAAATTTCAGCGGATGGCAGAAATGACTCTCCTGGTCACTGTGCACAACATGTGTGTGTTGAACATTTACACTTTTACACACATTTACACTTTCACCTCTACACACAGACTATAGTTGAATGCCTGTATTTTACAGTAATATTTATTTTTCTCTTTTCAAGGCAGCAAAGATAAAAGGAGAGTCGATCCTCTTCAACTGGCTGAAGGACATAGTCAACCATTTTCGGTGGTGTTGCAAGACTGCCGACACACGTCAGCAGTTTCTTGTAAGCACACAATTTTATTATATCTTTGGGTAATTTCATTAATTGCTATATTAAGGACATATTTATAGTGCATTTTTATGTTTTACAGGCATTATGGGTTGGCATCCTTCACCATGTCTGCAACATTCACACCTGGACTATGGGAAGTTGCAAACACGGGCACCTTGAATCGGATCAACTGCGGGGAAAGATGTGGATCCAGAGAGACTCCCAGTGCCACAAAGCTTTAGTGGATCTAGTTCTCAATAAGAGGTGGCAGAAAGATGTTCACAAATATCTGCGATTCAGGTAGTGTGGCTATACTTTTTCACACTGATGTGTATTGTAATATTTATGCTTACTGCTCATGTACACAGAAGTATGTATTTGTTTGTTCTATCAGATCGACTGCAGACCTAGAGTCATTCCAGAATCATATCCTGATGTATGCCAGCAAGCGCTTTGCTTTCAGCCCCCCAGTTTATGAGGCACGAGTTCTGCTTGCTGCTTTGGACTACAATTTCCACCTGAACAGACCAACAATGAAAACGTTGGACGGCAAAGAGATGTACGTTTTACACTTTAAAACTTAAAACGTATAATATTCCCATTCATAGTACAATATTCAGCCCATGTTTTATATGCAACTGATTGTCTTTACACTCAAGGTTTTCTCTTGTTCTACTTACAAACTGATATTAAATGGTTGTAATTTGTGTAATTTCAGTTTCAAAAGATTGTAGAAGAAGAACGCTAGAAGATACAGCGTATATGCCTTGAAATCTGAAAAAACCTACGGATACATTTCCTAGTTGCAAAGAAGGATTGTGAAGAACAGACTCATAAGTGGAGTGGGGATGCCTAGAAGGAGGAGCCTTCTCCCAGATGACCCCAGACAGCTTGGTTTGGTGCCCCCCGTACCTGCACCAGCCACATCAGACTTGCTGCAGAGACAAGTCAGAAGAGGTCTTGGTAAGTTACACAAATTTGTTGCCTATGTTGTACCATATTACATGTCACTGAATGATATTTACATTACAATATAGTCTGTGACTCTGTTTGATGGCACTGTCTTCAACAGGACCGTTATTCCAACCAGCATCTGATGTGGGAGGATCCCCACAGGAGATCTGCTTGCATGTGTCCTGGTACTTGTCAGGCAGGGAAAGAACTTCAGTTCACTGACAAAGTCATAGCTTTTACTCTTCAAAAAGAGAAATTTATTAACATTAAATTCTGTTCCTACCCTCCTCCAGTGGTTATTTCATGTGTTTCATCTTATTCTGCTAAGTCCACTGTGACCAGCGCATATTATTTTTTGTAGGTTTTTAGTTTACAGTTTGAACAGTAATGATAAGTAAGGCTACAGCTGTCCCCTATTATGTAAATATAAATAACTAAAATTGGTATTGAAAAGGTTACGGCAAAGTTTGAAATTCTAAACACATGTTCAAATGTATATAATGAAAATAAAAAGACCATGTGCTTCTATTTCTTACCTTTTTATTTTTTCGATACCATAGAACTGCAGTTGAACAACTATAACACTATATAACTATACAACATACATCAAAGTTAAATAAAGAGGGGAGAAATATGAATAAATATATATAGAAATGTAATAAAAAATCAAATGTTAACTATGTACATTTGTTTGATGCCTTGATGATGCTGAGGCAGCTTTGTGAGTATTTGTGTGAAACTGTATGACCATGCCTGAGGGCCTGGAAGGAAATTCACAGTCCAGGAATAAAACCCGTGTAGTGTTCTTGAGGATCAGGGAACTTGTCTCTAATCCTCCAAACACAACAACTAGGTTTCCCTGGCCTAAAGCTCCATGTTGCCAATAGATGAAGTGTCTATAGGCACCATAGCGTTGTCATCCCCAGGCTCCCTGATGTTGCCTAACGCCGTGACGTCCTCCCGGTAATGAAGCCTTCTTCGAGGCAGTTCTGGGAGAAGTGCGGCAGCAGGCTCACACAGTTCGCTTGCTCCTGGTCCGTAGGCATTTCCCTACAGTTACCACAAGTACACCGAGGTACTCCTGGCACTCTGGCAGAAGGTGGGGCACCATGTCTGCGCTGATGCATCATCAAGGCATCAAAGACCAGCCTGGCTGCCTCTCCAGCAGAAGGGTGGAGAGCTCTGTGTTCTTCAACGGTCATCTGAAGAAAGAGGACACAGGGAAAAATACTCAATATGCAATATTCTCTGCTTCAATACTCTGGTTACTCTGTCTCGATGTTGTTTTTAAGATTGTATCCATTCCAAATGAAATATACTGGTACTCATTATGAATATTAATATTTAATGCACTACTACTATTTATCATTACACTTCTGTTGATGCTGTAAATTACTTTACATGTCCACATTACCTTTATTTAGATTTAGATTTTATAATTTTTATATTTAATTGACATGCAAGCTTAGCAATTGTGACCAAGAATTTCCCCTCGGGTATCAATAAAGAATTTGTGATTCTGATAAAATAAGGCTTTATAAGGCAACATGGTACTGCATATTAGGGTTTGCAGGCTGGCCAATGTTTGCTCAACTTGTATAATACGGCTTCATATAATCATTGTTGCCCAGTAAATGACATGTTACTACTATCTAACGTTACAGTACCAGGGGTACATGTGCACAGAGCTGCTATGTAAATAACATTATCACTGTGTGCTGGGGTTTTTCATAAAGTGCAAACAGGTCAGAATATAATAACGTTACAACAACCTTATAAATACAAACCTTGGTAACAGCTCTCGGGTTCCTTTGGAGGGCTTCCACTCTTTCTTCGTCCTCTATTGAGCCATCACTCCAGGTAGGTCCTCTGCCTCTCCGCCCTCTTCCTCTCCCTCTCTCTCTTACAGTTATCTCTGGTAAATGGACTTCTACATTTAGATCACATTGACATGTGCTGGTTCTGTCTAACATTAGCTTCTTCTTCCTTCTTTTTCTTCTTCCTTGTGCTTTTATTGTCAGTTGGCAAACAACGAATTGGTGCGTTACCGCCACCAATTGGTATGGAGTGTGGATCAGACCTTTATACATCTCTGATCATGGAGAGAAATACTTTTGTGAGGGATTAGTTGGACTTAGTGGGCGGGCCACAACAGTTGATTGACAGTTAAGGAAGAGGAAGGAAAAAGCAATGACAATAGGTCTCTAAGGGAAAGGCAAAAGCAAATGTATGTATTCATTCTTTTATTCATTCATTCTTTCTTTGATATATTTCTACATTTATTTATTTATTCTTTTATTCATTCATTCTTCCTTTGATATATTTCTGCATTTATTTATTTATTATTTTATTCATTCATTCTTTCTTTGATATATTTCTGCATTTATTTATTTATTCTTTTATTCATTCATTCTTTCTTTGATATATTTCTGCATTTATTTATTTATTCTTTTATTCATTCATTCTTTCTTTGATATATTTCCGCATTTATTTATTTATTCTTTCATTCATTCATTCTTTCTTGCATTTATTTCCCCATTTATTTATTTATTCTTTCATTAAGTTCTGTCACTTTGGATGTTCCATAGTTATGGACGTGGCAGTTAATAATGAAAAACGTAACATAAGAGAGATTCACTCCTATGCTTGTCAAGCCGAAAATGATGAAGAATGCACTTCTTCTCAGAACACGCCAGTGAAATGACCAACTAAAAAGACTAAAGGTAACCAAAAAGAAAACAGACACTCCTGCAAGGCGTTAACGTTAAACGAGGAACCAACGCTCTCCGAGCTACAAAACACCATAATTACAGCCGTCTTTGGGAAGATAAATGAAAGAGCTGTCCGCTACAATACAGTTCAGATAGACGGTCTTAAAAAGTCGCTGGACTTTTGCCATAAGGAAGTTGTGGATTTGAAAAACCAGAACATGGCTCTCAGAGACAAATGTGAGCAACTCCAGGAAAAAGTCACAGAGATGGAACTTAAAGTCAGTGAGAAAGAAAAAGAAAACATCCGATCACGAGTCAAGACATCTGTCGGGCCGAGCTACAAGTCTCCGAGTCCGAGAAGGTAGCAGGTCGATGGAGGAGCAGTAATCATCAGGTTCCTGTTGTGGAGAGGATCTAAGAACAACAAGTACCTGAAGAACAACCGGCTCCACTTCATGGCCAGCTGTGGAGGCAGCAGGAAAGACAGGAGAAGAGACTTATATAAGAAATAAAAGGAAATTAAAATGGACTGAAAGAAAACCACTCAAAGATACTAAGCAAAGTGGATAAATATATTACTGGGTAAGATGAAACATGCTGTTTAAGTCATAGTCTTTAATCTCAAGGAGTGCAGTAATTATCAAGGCAACAAAATAATCACCTCTGCAGTGATGCTTTAATTAACCAAAGGGTTTAAGAGTTTAACGAAAGAATTGTTCCTTTTTGTTCATGTTCAACAACGTCCATTTCTATTTTATCTGTAAATGCCAGGGGTATTAGAAACCAGTTAGAGAGAAAATGTTTGTTCTTATATTGCCAAAACAAAGGTGCTGATTTTTATTTCATCCAAGAAACTCACGCTGAGAAACAGATGTATCGTTTTGGAGTCAGTGGGAAAGATGTGTGGTTTTCCTCTGGTAGGAACAGGTCAGCAGGGGTCGCTGCACTACAGGGAAAGTTTAATGGTCATATTATCAGCCAGTTAACAGATGTTAATGGTAGATGGATAATTCTCCTAGTAGATACAGACCGATCTCAATTTATTTTTATAAATATTTATGCCTCCAATAACAAACAAGACAGCACAATTATATTTTCAGCAATAGAGAATAAAATTAATCAGCTGTTATTACAGATCCCCTCAGCCAAAGTTTTATGGGGAGGAGACTTTAATACAGTGATGGATGAAAACATGGATAGATGGCCTCCTAAAGATAAAGTAATGAGTGAATTAGGAAACATATGTGGATGTAGGATGGATCTTATTGATATCTGGAGAAATAGACACTTGAACCAAAGATTATATACTTGCAGTAATAAGGATAGATCTCAACAATCACGCGTAGACTTCTGGTTGATCTCCTCAGATGTAGAAGACAAGGTGGACTTAGTGAGAATAGAACCCTCTGTTTTTACAGATTATAAGGCTATTATGATTATAGTAAATATGAGGTAACTTTAATAAGGACTATTGGAAATTAAATAAAACACTATTAGAAAATAAGGAATTTAAAAATGAAGCCCCAAAAAAAAAGCATTACGGGTATTGATGACACAAGTCACATCAGTCTGTGACCAGAAAATTTGTTTAACGGAGCTACAAAAATGTATTGACTCTTAAAGAAAATAAATCTCCTGGTAATGACGAGTTGATAAGTGAATTTTATAAAGTCTTTATTAAGATTTTAGCCCCATTTTAGTGTCTGTATTTGAAGAAGCCAGAGAAAAAGGAGCTACCACTTACTCTGCGTCAGAGTCTTATTAAATCGATCCCCAAACCAACAAAAGAATAATTGAATATTGAGAATTGGAGGCCAATTAGTCTGTTAAATAATGATGCCAAGATATTTAATTTGATCTTTGCAAAAGGATTAAAATCTGGAATGGATAATATTATTGATGAAGAACAATCTGGATTCATACCTGGTAGAAATATATGCAACAACATGCAGTTAATTCTAGATATGATTGATTATAATGAATATATAGTGGACAATAATTTATTTTATTTGTTGACTTTTATAAAGCATTTGACACAATAAGCCAGTTTATGTTTAAAGTCATTGAATGCTTTGGATTTGGAAACAAATTTCTAAATGCTGCCAAAAGACTTTCTAGAAGGTGCAACAGCTCAGTTAAGTTAAAACACGAAGATTTGATATTGGTGATAAGACGAGGTCGTCCCCTCAACCCCTTTCTGTTCCTTCAGGTAACACAAATTATGGCCGTACACATTAAAAAAGGGCAGTTTCAAGGTACAGTGACCTTAAATAGAGAATTTAAATGATCTCAACTGGCAGATGATTTGACTATTTTTCTGTCAAATAAAGAGGAAGTGATCAAAGCAATTAGTTGTGTTGAGGATTTTTCTCTTGTTTCAGGCTTAAAAATGAACCTGAACAAATCTGTATTATTACCATTTAAAGAATGTGACCAATCAGAAGTAGACGGCCTGTGATACCTGTGAGGAACACCGTTGCATACCAAGGTGTAGTTATAGACAGGAATGAGAAACTCTGTAGAAATCAAAACTTCAGCCCTATAATTGAACAAATAAAGAGAAGGTTCAACATGTGG